GGGGGGGGGGGGGCGGGGGGGGTCACTGGTGAGGTGGGGTGGGGGTCCCTGGCGAGGTGGGGTGCAGACACTCTCTGTGCTGCCATCTAAGCGTCTGGATGCAGTTTGTGTAGGGACCTGGGTCCCCAGGTCTGTTCCTGGCAGCCCTGCAGACAGCGTGCAGTCAGGTGTGCCCAGGGCCACGCCTTGTGCAGAGCAAGCCAGCCCTGTCCAGCGTCTGAAAGAGCGGATGAACATGAATCCTCTTGCTTCTGAAAAGTGCAAAGGCCCTGGGGTGGCCTGCCATTCCATTAAGAGGCGTGTAGGATTACGATGGAAGCAGAAGCAGAGAAACAGCGGAGGGAAGCAACGGGGGTCTGGCTCAGCAGAAGCAGGAGGAAGTCCCATAGGGGACATCCTCTGGGGTGGGGCTGGGCCAGTGGCCAGCAGGCCAGCACAGCTGCGCCAGGCAAGGGCTCAGTGCAGCCCGAGGGGCCCGCATCACATGCCTGGGCCCCTGGGACGTCCCTAACATCACCAGGGGCAGCGAGGGTTGAGGTGGGACCAGAACTGCCAAGGACCCCTGGGGCCCTGCTTAGAACGACGAGGTGGGGCTTACCCTCCTCAAGGGACTTCCATGCCGTGTGGATAAAATGTATAAAACTGTGCAGAAACCATCCCTAAGTGCAGGGAGGGGAGAAGGCCTGATTGTAAACTCGGAAGGAGCTGCTGTGGGTTTAACCCCCTTGTGAATGCCTTCACCAGTAGGTGTAGGGGAGGGCAGGTGTTCAGCGGCCCACCTGTCGCCGGAGGAGCTCTGTGAGCTGGAATCCTTCTGTTCACAGTCCTACCTCTGTCTCCCGACTGGAAGTCAAGAGTGGCTGCAGCAGCCCTGATTCACCGCCTCCAGCGTCAGGGCCACCATGAATGCGCACAGCCCATGGGGGTGGCCCCACGTCCCAGAGGAGGTCAGGATGGCCCCTTGCCCTTCAGCATACCCCAGAGCACTTCGGAATACTCAGCATTCTGCTCTGTGTTCAGCCAGTGTTACCTCTGCCCATTCAGCTCCAGCCAGGCCCTCCTCCTAAGCACTCCTGGGCCCTTCCATTCTCACCAACCTCTCAGACACACATCTGCCACGCCCTCTCTTCTGGGTACTCTGACCCCCGCCTCAGTTGAGCCTTCACCTGTCCTGCCACAAATGCCTGGGCATGGGCAGAGGGCAGCAAGAGTGCCCCTGGAGGGGACTGGGCCCCCAGGAAGCAGGCCTCTCCACTGCAGGCCTGCTCTGGCCTGGACCACCTGCCTTGGCCCTGCCAGGCTTGGGTACCTCTGAAGAGGATGAGAATTCTGAATCTGAAGACCAATGGCACCCCTGGCTGGGTGCTCCCCCTGGCCTGGCACAGACTTGGGGGGCCCATATTCCTGGATTAAGGCCTCCCACTCCTCCTGCTGTGGGGTTTGGGCAGCCTCTTACCTTTGGGGTGAGGTACTTGGTCATAATTTCCTTCCCTTTTTCTCCCAGTTTTTCATCCGGAGTAACTTCATATTCTGCCTAAAACAGAAGAAGGAAAAGAACAATAATAGATTTGCTCACGAGCATCTCACAATTGTAGAACCTTAGAGGCCCCTGGAGAAGACACCCTGGAGGGCACGTGACCGAACTCCTTCTTCGGCAGGACAGGGAGCGAGGCCCAGAGAAGGGAGGGGCCCTGGTGTCCAGTCCAGCCGGCTCTGCTCCACTGCGGACACGTGCTCAGAACAGCGGCAGCACACTGGAGTCACTGGGGAGCCAGCGCTGGTGCTTGGACCCCGCCCCACACCCACAGAGTCAGACCCTTTGGTGATGGGGTCAGGCATCCAGGCAGCTGGTGGAGAGAACCACAAGCTTAGGAAAATCAAAGGAAGCTGCTGGAAACTAACTAGAGCCAGCAAACTGGAAGGCCCTCAGAAGGCTGCCTGAGGTCACTCAGACCTTACATGCTGCATGACCTTGGACAGTTTCTTCAATCTCCATACAATGCAGATGGAAAAAGCGCCTACATGTAGGGTGATTGCGCAGGGAAAACAAGACAAATCTGGGCACATACTAAATACTCAATTAACGGCTGCTGTATTTACCACCATCGCAATTACTACACCTTGTAAGAGAAGACGATAATATGCATGCTATGACTTTGACAGCTTTTCAGTTTACAAAGGGAACACACAGAGATTTTTCAGATGCTCTTATGTGAACCTTATTTAAGCCCAGGTAGTGATACGATGGTAAAGAACCTGCCTGCCGATGCAGGAGACATGTGTTTGATCCCTGGGTGGGGAAGATCCCCTGGAGAAGCGAATGGCAATCCACTCCAGTATTCTTGCCTGGAGAATTCCATGGACAGAGTAGCCTGGTGGGCTACAGTCCAGAGGGTCACAAAGAGTCGGACACGACTAAGCGACTGAGCACACAATGACACAGAAGGCAGGGCGGCAATCACACCCCTTCATCCACATACAGAGAGCAGGGGCTTCAGCAGAGTTGCCCAGGGTCAATGGTGGGGAGGCAGCAGGGCTGGGACATGGACCTCCAAGCCCGGACCCCTTTCACAACAACACCAAGGAATTTAGGACCCAGATCGCTGACCATGCCAGTGGGACCCGGGCTCTAAAGAAAGAAGTGAGGCTTCAAAAGACAGACCACTTTATTTTCCCTGACCCCAAGTGAGGCTCCTTCACAGGCACTTGACCCACTTGCCAAGAGGATAAAAGGCTGCCTCGACTTAATGAAAAGCCTGGTGAGCTTGCCTTTCTCATTTCAACAAGGGAACTAATTGCAAACTGTTTATAACTGGTTCAAAATCCGCCACCCAAGGATTTGTCAGCCTCCATCCAAAACTACAGCTATTTCCAAAGAGACAGGCAGTGGCATCAGCACAGAGGGGCTGAAACTCCTTTCCCGGCCACCTCACTGTGGAGTTAGACCCCAATACTTACCCCCACCCACACTCCCACCCCTGGGCTGGTTCAAAGCAGACTCTCAACTCAGTGTCTAGAGTCTGGTTTCTCAACAGGCCAGCCAGGAAGACCCTCCCGGCTGGAGCTGCACCTCTCCGGGGCAGAGGGTTCTAGAACACAACTGCCCACCTATTTTCCAGGGGGTGCAGAGAGAAGCTCCCAGTGTCCAGCTGCCCTGGGAGCCCCGCCTGGTGGTCTGGCTCTGTGGGAATTTATCCAGACTGCTTTGCAGGGCCCAGGCCACAGGCAAATGGCTGCCTACCTATTGGGGGGTAACTCAATCCCATGCAGAACCCTGGATTTGCACCATCCCAAAATACCTCTGCAAAGGTAGCTCTATTTAACCAAACGGAGGCCTGAGGCTCACTAATCAGCCTCAATAGCCAGCTGAAAATATTATTGCTCTGGGTACTAAAACCCACGTTAAAAAAAATAGCAACACTTTCAGGTCAGCTGCCTCCCAGCAGAGGCCCTGCTGGGCAGCTGGGCGCCAGGGTTCCACGGGGAGGCAGCCGGGAGCATGCCGGGACAGGCCTCCCCAGCCTGGGATCAAAAGGCCTTTCTTTGAGAGTCCATGTCAGGTCACCACCACTTGAAGAACATTTGTGTTGGGAGGCAGAAAACCAACAGAAGGCTTCCAGCTGGGCTTTCCGCACCGATTAAGTCACCTGGAGTGACAGGCCATGTCTCCACTGTGACCCCCGAGAGGGGCTCATGGGGGACCCGTCCGGAGAGACCACCTACAGAGAAAAACACCATGGCGGCTCGGCCGGCCGGGCAGCGCTCAGGGCAATCACATGGACCTGGGGCAGCGGACCACCCGGGAATCCGCTCCCGCGGGGGCACTCCTGCCCAGGTGGTGGGCAAAAGCTGCCGAAATCAGCTGAAGCCAGAAAACATAAGCAGCAAATAAGAAGTTGGGTTGGCCAGTGCTCTGTGACAACCTCAGAGAGGTGGGATGGGGTGGGAGGTGGGAGGTGGGAGGGCGGTTCCAGAGGGAGGTGACATATGTATGCCTATGGCTGATTCATGCTGAGGGACGGCAGAAACCCACACAACGTTGTAAGGCAATTACCCTCCAATTAAAAGTAAATAAATTAAAAGAAGTTGGGTTGGGCCAACAGCCTAGAATTTTACAATTAGAAATGGAAATGGCAGACAGTGACTTCAGTGAACAGAGAGGTAAACGACACGCCAGGATGACCTGTGACATCCATCCATGAGTTCCCTCCAACAAGCCGGGGGTGGACTTGTCCCCACCCCACCCCCCAACAGAGGGGACACACACTGTCCTCCCTACTGTGTTGCCCACTTGAAACCTTCTCCTGCCCAGGGCTCAGCCCCAACGGCCAGAGTGCCAAAGAGCTCCTTGCCAATCCACTCGGAGAACACTTCTCTTCCCCAGATACATCCATGGTGCCAACCGAGGGAGGCATTTAATGAGCCTTCTCTCCGCATGGTGATTTATGCCAAACACAGGAATGGGCTTTAGGGAGGAGATGCTGTAACACAAAGCGCAAAATACGACATTGAGTTCAAGGCAAAAAGAATTATTTATATATCTGTGCCTGCCAAAAGGGTATAAACATCTGTGTACATCCTAGTTTATAAAGCCAATATTTCATTCTCTTGGCGAGCTCTAATTGCATCATCCATCTCAGAAAATGCTAATGAAAATATGTCCCCTATTAAACACATTTCTCTCAGATGAGTTTTTAAAAAAACATGAAGATTGCAAACTGGTACAAGGGGCCCTGCCACGTTCTCACAGAAGCCGGCGCTGGGTTTTACAGAGCGGAGTCTGAGTCGAATTCCTCTCGGCAAGATGTCACCCCCCTCCTCTCGGGAGCCCTTCTCCTGCCCTGGCAGGAAGATGAAGTCAGAGAGGCTTTGAGGTCTCGCCACCTCCGGCTTCTGTAATTACCGATGTGGTCAGCTTTTCCAGAGTCTTCGCGGCAGGGACAAGTGACGCGCCCAGCTGCTCCCCGCGGCCCTCTCTGGAGAAACACCCGGCTCCTCCCACACCGGCCTTGGCATCTTGCCGGTGCCAAGCCTGGGGGCCAGGGGTTTCCGTCTGCCCCTCTGGAGTCACTGCCCGCCCCGCTTCGGGACAGAGGAGAGTGCGGGCGGGGAGTCCCCCGCCAGCTCCCTCCCTGCCGGGCGCCCAGGCTCCTGGATCCTTCTGAAAGCCCAGCTCCTGCAGCTGCCCTCTCCCACTCCTTCCTGAATGGGCCCTGTCCCTGCAGAGCTGGAGGTGGCGAAGGCTCAGACGTACCTGCGTACACAGGCCAGGACTCCAACAGCTGCCCTTCATGAAATTCTACTTCTTTCACACAGGAGCGAGCCATCCATCTCTGGCCAGGCCCCTCACTGATGCTTGAAAACTCCTTCAGAAGACTGGCATCGCCTGCCCCTTCCCATCCCCCCAGCTAGAATGAAGAAGCTCTACAAACAGGGGTGTCCCCACACCAGGGTCCCAGGATCAGATGGGTCTGGTCAGCCTCACAGCCTGTGTCCACCTGGGCAGGCAGAGTCTTCTCAGATGTCTGGTCGTCATGTGAGAAGACCTGTCGGGCCTGGGTTAGGAAGGGGTTCCCTGGCCCAGGGTCAATGGGGCGGGTTCAGAGAAAGAAGGGAAGGAGGAGAGGACCCCTGGCCACGTGGGGTACAAACTGAGGGTGACAGGAGGGACCCCAAGGTGGGGCGGCGCCATAGCCACCAAGCTTGGCAGAGGTGAGCTCGGAAAAGTCAGAGGAAAGGTTCTGACCCTCTCGTGGGGTGGGGGTGGGGGGGCGGGGGGTGGTTGGCTGATGTGTCTGAGTCCCGCGGTGGAGGGCCTGTGCTGTCGCCTCCTGCCCGCCGGTCATTCTCGCGGGAGCTCAGCCCTCGGCGGCTCTCTGCCACCCCTTCACCGCGCCTCCTCCGCCCCCAGCGCCCCGCATTCTTCCCCTGTCCTCACTCCCCACAGGGCTCATAAGGCCATCATGCAAAGGGCTCTCCCCGCTACTCTTTCAATTCTAAGTGACCAGAATCTCAACCTAGTCTGACTCAAGTGCAACTAGAATCTCTGGGTTCCTGAGCTCCAAGGATGGGGTGAACAACCAACGTGTGGGGAAAATGGAAATGCAGCCTGGCCCAGAGCAACAAAGCCAGGGACGTGAGCACCTCTGGAACCTACTCACAGTGTGTGTGTGTGTCTGTGTCTGTCTGTGTGTGTGTGTGTGTGTGTCTGTGTGTCTCTCTGTGTGTGTGTCTGCGTGTGTCTGTGTGTGTCTGTGTGTGTCTGTGTGTCTCTGTGTGTGTGTCTGTGTATGTATGTGTCTGTGTGTGCGTGTGTCTGTTTGTATCTATGTGTGTGTGTGTCTGTGTGTGTGTGTCTGTTTGTATCTATGTGTGTGTGTGTATGTGTGTGTGTGTGTGTGTGTATGTGTCTGTTTGTGTCTATGTGTCTGTGGTGTGTATGTGTCTGCGTGTGTATGTGTGTATGTGTGTGTATGTGTCTGTGTATGTATGTGTCTGTGTGTGCGTGTGTCTGTTTGTATCTATGTGTGTGTG